CTCCACCGTGCACGACGGCGTTCGTGTATGTCTTGAAGCGGTCCGCGTACTCGTAAGGCGGGACGGGCAAGATCTTGTGCTGTGATCATCGTCAGTACACCCGCACATATGAACATCGGAGCTGAACTGGGCGCTTACGCTGTCTGAAGAAGGTCGAGAGCGTGTGGAGAGGTCTTCTCGAGTCGATCAGGCAGAATAGCCACGGCAGGCGCAGTCCTCATGACTCCTCATAGCCTGTCCATTGTGCGACGGTACATCCGGCAAAAAGACCTCGAGCGTACTCTTCCGAACGTTTCCGCAATTGACGAGCTCGAAGCTCGCGGATACCGACGAGGAACGCCGCGTCCGGATGGACTTGCTCGGATAAGAGAGAACATTCCTTGGCTCTAAGATCTGAGCTTCACGCTCTTGTCGCAGGCAAGCTGATTCAGGACCTGCGTGCGGAAGCCGTGTCAGCACCCACAGTCCGTGTGCCCTTGGCGTAGGAAAGGAGAATATCGTACCTTTGGTACGACTCGTACATTCGCTTTCGCGCGCACGGTCTTCGGGGTAGTAGGTACAACCGTCCGACGGTTGATCCAACGAAGCGGATCTTTCGAATCCTAAACGCGTGTGTCAATCAGCGTTCAATGTTCAATTAGGCACCGCAGAGGTCGGAGGGTGAACGTACCGCAGAGGAGCGTGAGAGGTGTACTTGACGTGCCGCAGCCAGCACGCCGTCCTCCTCGTCAACCGAAGGCCGCAACCCTCTCTCGAAGTAGATTGACGATGGTATCGGCGAGCATGCAAGCCCTCCTGAAGTATGTCTCCGGCGGACGTGCTCGAACCTCGCACGGAACGTGTCGGGTGCAAAAGTGCGGCTACAACGCGGGTCAAGCATGCGGTTGCGATGCCAATCAAGCTGGACACATACCATGGCCCAATTGACGAAGAAAGCGGACTCGGCGGAGACCTAAGCAGGCGGTGTAGAGCAATCCATGAGCGAGATGCAGAACTCGAACAGGTGCGCTGCGTACCAACCGTTCCTGCAATTCTTGACCAGTGCGCCCAGACGTGAAGGAGAATGATAGCAGGCACACCACTCAATGGCGTCGCTCGCGCGCTCCCTACGGCTTCTAGCGTGCCTACGTTCTTGCTCTCCAAAGTACCAAGATGATGCCCATCGCCGCGCTGCCCATAGATCGCCCAAGCGCGATGCGCGAGATGGGTGGGCCCACTACGAGGAGACTGTCTGTAGTGTCTCTCTCCCGTAAGATGTGTACATCTGCAGTGCAGCTGCGGTGCAGGTTGCGTACGATCAGCTCGTGGGGCGGGGCGGGGAGGGCCGAATGAAACATGAGTGTAGTTTTGCGGATGCTGGAAGCAAAAGGAGGGCAATGAGGCTGTCGCGTGGCGGTTTCATGTGTGGCAATTTGAATGAGCTTGTGCATAACGCCGCGTCGTCTTGTTGTAACCTGGACGGGCGTGAGAATGCGTGATAGGCAAGAGGGAAAGAAAGACGAACCTTCGCCACTTGAGCTCGCAGTAGCCTGGACCAGTTATGGGGCTTGAAAGGGTAAATGTCTTCCCCGACCATCATACTGACGCGCGTATTGGCCGTGAAGTCCTCTCCAGGAACCAATCTGCTGGAAGTCGGTCAGTCCGCACAGACGATATACTCATCTAGTGACGTACCAGACACGATATCATTCGCATCCCCATCCAACGAACACTTAACAACTCGCGCGTTCGGCCCCTCTTCCCCGACAAACCTCACGCTCTCCAACGCAATCCCGCGCCGTCCATCGCACACAATCGTAGCGCTAACGAACGCCTCCCCACCGATACCATCGTCCCATTACTCCGGGTCATGAGCACTCAGGCCCCTAAGTGCGGGCGCAGGCTTCGTTGATCTCACATATCGAACGTAGTGCTTGAATTTGAATGGTGCGAGAGCGTCGACGCTGAGTGAGCAACTGGTCTCTGCAGCGTCCGTGTCGTGATCGGAGACATAGGACCGTACGGAGATGTCTAGAACGCGCGAGCCAGTAGCACCGGTGTTGCGTGGGTAGATAGTCTTGGCCGGGTGCAATCTGACCGAGAGATATGTCCTTCAAGGACCCAGACGCTAGTGAGATACCATGACGTCAGCGCGCTTGACTAACCATTCAGTGGTAAGCGCTTACCTGCGTCATCAATCTCCGTAGGCTGTGGCAGTACATCCAGCACGGCGTGGAACGGTCGCTCATCTGAATCGAGCACGTCTAATCGAATGACGGGGTGATTCTCATGCAGATAAGCCGGCGACGGATGAGTGAACATGAGCCTCCGGGTCGGCTTGGTGCGGTTTGTGGTGGGCGGCGGCCTGGGGCGCGTCTACGCGCAGTACCGGCATCGTCTTCGGTCAGTCGAGTGAGCTG